TGGAATGGAGTCCTCCAGAAGACCACATATGCTCCGAATCCATGGCCATCATATAGTGTTATTTCTCTGAGTCAGGATTTGCAGGTTCAGAAATAAAGGGGTGGAAATGATAGTGGAACCACCTGTAGTGATCCACTTAGTAAACGTCTTACTTCCTATTGCCATGGTTTTTATATGCTACTGGCCTAGAGGCTTTTGTTTCTAGAGAAGGTAATAAGATGCCTTCTGCCAAGAGATACTATATTCCTTCAATTTGGGTTCCTCATGCCTCTGAACTAACAGTGAAAAAAGAAAGTTACTATCCTGGCTAAAGCCAGTGATTCTCAGGGACTTGATTGCTAGGCTATAATTCGGGTACAAAAGGGCTTGTGTGGAATATTGGAAGCTCCTTAAGGAAAGTGACTTATAATTATTATTTTTATTTATTTATTTATTAGAAATTTCCACCTCCAACCATTTCCCTCCCACTCTCCCTCCCCCTCCCTCTCCAATCCTAAGAGCAGTCAGGTTTCTGTGTCCTGTGGGAAGTCCAAGGTCCTCCCCCTCCATCCAGGTCTAGGAAGGTGAGCATCCAAACTGACTAGGCTCCCACAAAGCCAGTCCATGCAATAGAATCAAACCCAGTGCATTGTCCTGGGCTTCTCAGTCAGCCCTCATTGTCAGCCACATTCAGAGAGTCCGGTTTGATCACATGCTCCATCAGTCCCAGTCCAGCTGGCCTTGGTGAACTCCCATTAGATCAGTTCCATCGTCTCAGTGGGTGGATGCACCCCTCGCGGTCCTGCCTTCCTTGCTCATGTTCTCCCTCCTTCTGCTCCTCATTTGGACCTTGGGAGCTCAGTCCCGTGCTCCAATGTGGGTCTCTGTCTCTATCTCCATCCATCACCACATGAAAGTTCTATGGTGATATGCAAGATATTTATCAGTATGGCTATGGGATAAGGCCAGTTCAGGCACCAGAAATGCAAATCAAAACAACTTTGAGATACCATTTTACACCATCAGAATAGCTAAAATCAAAAACACCAAGGATAGCCTATGCTGGAGAGGATGTGGAGTAAGTGGAACACTCATCCATTGTTGGTGGGAATGAAAACTTGTGCAACCACTTTGGAAATCAGTGTGGCGGTTTTTCAGAAAACTGGAAGTCTACCTCCCTCAGGACCCAGCAATTCCACTCTTGGGAATATACCCAAGAGATGCCCTAACATACTACAAAAGCATTTGTTCAACTATGTTCATAGCAGCACTATTTGTAATAGCCAGAACCTGGAAACATCCTAGCTGCCTCTCAATAGAAGAATGGTTAAAAAAGGTGTGGAACATATACACTTTAGAGTTTTACTCAGCGGTAAAAAACAATGACATCTTGAATTTTGCATGTAAATGGATGGAAATAGAAAACACTTTACTGAGATAACCCAGACCTAAAAAGATAAATATGGTATGTACTCACTCATAAGTGGATTCTAGCCATAAATAAAGGACATTGAGCCTATAATTCGTGATCCTAGAGAAGCTAAATAAGAAGGTGAACTCAAAGAAAAATATATAGTTATCCTTCTGGATATTGGAAATAGACAAGATTGCCAGGCAAAAGTTGGTAACACGAGGGTGGTGGTGAGGTGGGAGTAAGGGGAGATGGGGAGAGAGAAGGGAGAAGGGGAGGATTGGGGAGAGCTTGGGGGAATGGGATCGTTGGGATGGAGGAAGGGTGGATATGGGAGCAGGGAAGCATATATCTTAATTAAGGGAGCCATTTTAGGGTTGGCAAGAGACTTGACTCTAGAGGGGTTCCCAGGTGTCCAAGGATATGTCCCCAGCTTGTTCCTAGTCTTATAATTAAATTCAGTGTAAAAGTACAAGCCAATCCAAGCAGGACTACTCAGACATTTTGAAATGATATTTTATGTCAACCTACTAGTTTAGGAACTATGACCAGCTCTTGTGTTTGGTGAAGACTAAGAGGATAGGTAGTAGAAGGTGATTACAATGTCAGCTGCAACTTCATGAATAGTTAAGGAGCAAAGTGTAAATTATGAGTATTACCTCATGTGATAAAAACAAATACACGTACATATTTATATAACAGGAATACCTTTGTTTTCTCTCTTCTCTTATTCTTTTACTATGAAAACTAAGATTGCTGACTTTGTATACACAGAGGGCCTGGTGCAGAGAGATCCATGTTAGCCCTTTGCTTGCTGCTTCCAAGAGGTTCTCAGACGTTCCAAAATGGAAGAAATATCTGCATTGCCCTTGTGTATGTGAACCTGCATCCAACTCACAAGTTTCTTGGGGCCCACACCCTCAGCTTAATCTCAACCAGTGAAGAGAAGTTGTTGGGACTTGGAGGCACATAAATAAAAGTACCTCTGATCCCTAGGTTTGGTAGTAAGACCCCTCTTTAGGATTCTGTGCCACTGTACCAGTGAGCAAGCAGAAAGTTCAGGGAACTCCTTCTCCAGTGTTCGACGTCTATGCAGGTCACAGGTGCCCAGTCCACTCTCTTTTCTTTTTTTGGGGGGGGTGGGGTGGGGTGGGGTTTCCAAGACAGGGTTTCTCTGTGTAGCCCTGGATGTCCTGGAACTCACTCTGTAGACCAGGCTGGCCTTGAACTCACAGAGATCTGCCTGCCTCTGCCTCCCGTGTGCTGGGATTAAAGAAGGTGCCCCACCACCTCACCACCCCACCCACTAGTGGCCCATTTTTTTTTCTCAAACTGTATTTTTGCAGAATGCAAGAACTATGGCGTTCACTGGGATTCTTACTTACAGCCCCACTGTCCCATTGAAGGGCATTTTGACTTCTTGCTTAGGTTGTGATCAAGCGTCAATGCAAGGTTGTACCCCCCAGCCCCGGTTTTCTGAGACATGGTTTCCGGAACTCACAGAAATGGACCTGCCTCCCAGGTGCTGGGATTAAAGGCATGCATTAAAGGTGGTGGTGGCAGAGGCAGCGGCATACACCTTTAATCCTAGCACTCGGCAGGCAGAGGCAGGCAGATCTCTGAGTTCGAGGCTGATCTGGTCTACAGAATGAGTTCCAGGACTGCCAAGGTTACACAGAGAAAATCTGTTTCGAAGGGATAGAATGGGAAATGCATCACCACCCCTAGTCTCTATTGTTGTTTCTTTTATAAATTTAACATCCAATATCTCTGGATTTCCTGGCCTCTATTGTTGCTCAAGTACTCGAGTACTTTTTCACGTCACCGCCTCTCCTTGAAGACAAACCTCTGCTTTATTTTAATATAGCAGATATAGGAAAATGCTAGAAGTCTCCAGCCCACCACTTTCCTCTCCTGATTGTGCTCTTTGAAATAATCCTTTAATTTTTTGACTAAAATATGTAATTATAATATCAAGATTACCCACATTTCTCATTGTAACTTGTTCATTTTGCATAAAATCTAAAATAGATAATTTGAGCTCACAAATACACCTGTTTCTTTCCAAGAATTTTATAATGTAACCATTTGGATGTCTTTGATATATTTAAGGTTAAGTTTTGAATGCATGTCAGGTGGGCATTTAGCTTCATTCTCTTGTACGTGGATGGTCACTAGTCACAGCACCATCTGGTGAAAACACCGTTCTTTTTAGCCTTGCTTGGTACCTTTTCAGAAATTGTCAATAAAAATGACAGCTTGTTTCTAGGCTCCTGATTTTATTTCATTAATCAATATGTCTATCATGCACCATTTTGCTCATTGTACTTCTGTACTAAATTTTCATATCTGAAAAAAATAAGATATCCTGAAAAGGTTTTGGATAGTCGAGTTCCATCACTCTTCTATGACCTTCATATCATCTTGGAACTTCTGAAGGTAATGTGAACTCGGATACAGATTACACTGCACATTTCAGAGACTGGCATCATCTGGATACTATTGAGTCTTTGGCCCATGACATGCCTATCACTAGTTATCATTGGGTTCAAGAAGTCCATGATTTCTATTTGTAGTTTTGGTGTTCCTTCAATAGTTTTAAAGCTCTAAAGGGCAATGAGATACAGCATTTTTAATGTACTTGCTCAGAATGTATTAATTGTACATGGAATAGAAATAATTATCAGTGTATTTGTGATTATTTTTTTCCAGATCCCTTGCTTCTGGGGCAAGGACTAATTTCAGTGTTCAGAATCAAATATATTTCACACCTTTTCAAAAATATTTTTCAGCTTTAACTATTACTTGAACAAATTATGTGATCATTATATATACTAACCTATAGGCATGTTTATATGTTGCTTTCGGATATGCTGTGTAATTAGAAAAAAAGTACTTTTCCATTTTTATAATTCAGAAGTCAGAATTCTTCTTAAACCTCTGTCTTACAATTGTTATAGTACATACACAATTTTCCTGTGAATCTCTAATCCCTCCCCCAAACCCTTGTTGGCAGTATTCCTGGTCTAGGCTCTGGCACTTTGGAGGACTAATCCGGGGACCTGCTGTGTTAGGCAAGTGCTTTAGCATTCAGCTACATCATTTGTCTTTTAAACCCCCAATCATGAATAATTAATGAGCAATTCATTAACTATGTCAAGTGTAAGAATACGCAATTAAAGTTTTACCATATTATGTGTGATTTTACCACACAATGCCTATAAATATTTGTAATTAGGATACTCACTGTATTTAATTATGGCCATTTAAGAAGTAGCAAATTAGAAAAAGAAGCCTACAAACCATCTTGACCAATAAAATAGTTAGGCTGTGGAATCCAGGATGAGGATTCCACATATTATCCACGTATTATCCAGGCCATAATACGGCATAAATCAACTGTCAGTTAATACAGCTTACTGGCAAGCCAACTCTTAAGATTTTACCTACCCATGCATTTCCTGCCATAGTCACACTACCGTGATGAATAGATGGCCATCTATAGAAAAAGGTCAGATTTGTGAACTAATTTTAGAATTAATTTTATATTTAGAATTTTCACATAATACTTAATTCAAACTCAAAATTTAGTAGATAATAGTCAAATAGCTATAATACAGCAACAAGACAAAATTTATTTGGACATTAATGCATTTATGCAACTTTAATGTAATACAGCAAAGACTGGGTGTCAACAAAAGAGAGCAATGATTGGCTTCTGCAGGACCATGTCAAGGGCTTGCTTTGGTGAGTTTACCATGATCCACACACACCATGGCCTTCAGTCCTAGAAGTCTACAACCCGATCTTGCCCACGTCCTAAATTCATCCAAATTCTGGAGGTGAAATCACAGTCATTACATCATAATACTGAAAGATATAAAAAGAGAAATATATTCATTTACAATGAGAAATGCAATTATACAGGTCAAACACGTGTTCAGAAGGCAATGCTTCAGATCCCCTTCTAAGCAGGCTATAGAAGAATAGGGTACTGATAATCTGCTAGTGCTCGAATTCAAAATGTGTTTGAATGCAAAAAAAAAAAGCTTTTGTGTCAATGAGATCAGATGTCTCTACTACCCTTAGTGTAATTGTCTTCCAGAGAATTGCTGGAATGCCTAGTTCAGCAGCTCTTGCTTTCCTATGTACCATCATCCATCACCTAGGACCAATGCTGCTTCACTGCCCTTGACTACCTACTTACGTTCTTTAGAAAATTCATATTTAAACAACATAAATAGAAACCCTCTTGTCACCAGACTTTTACCATTTCTCAGATTTCCCTCTATCTTTAGATAAAAACATCAGCATCAATTACTTCTTTACCATTGTCTATGCATGTATGTATAAATGTTTGTACATACACATACATGGTAGTTACAATACAGTATTTTAGATTTGTAGTTTGGAATATGAATTACATCATCAGTTTATATACTTCTTCACTAATTTTTTTACCTATTTAAGTTCTAGCTGTTTTTCTTTTTGTGATAATATCTTACTACCACTGTACAGCCAGGGCTAGTCTCAAACTCAGAATTTCCCTCCTGCCTGTTGCCCAAGTGCAGGGATTATGGGTATGTACCACCATGCCCTGCTCCCTTAATAAGATTTCTTTATAAAATTTGACTTATCTCACTATTTCAGTTGTCTCATTATATTATATGGTAATATTACCTATTAAATTATTCCTCTGTTAAATGGCATCAAGTGTGATTGCAGCTTTTACTTATGAAAAACAATAAAGTCAATTTATTCTTATATAGAGTCACTTTCATCAACTCCACAAATGAAAGACAGGTCAAAATACATACCTGGAAAAATGCTGATGCTGTTAAAAATCTTTCAACTGCTTATACTTTCATTGTATGTAATTAACATATTATATATTTGGCATTATCATTTATAAAACTGAGGATTATGGAGAATTCATCTTTTGTGTGTTTATAGGGTGTGTGTGTATGTGTGTGCATGTGTATGTATACATTCACATGTGGGTTTACATGTTCCATGATGTGCATGTGGATGTCAGAAGATAATCTCGGATGTTGGTTCTCACCTTCCACCTTGTCTGACACAGGGTCTCTCTGTTGGTCACAGGTGCAGAGGCCAGGCTAGCTGGCCCACAAGCTTCCAAGGATTCACCTCCCATCTTGCCGTAGGAGTGCTGGGATACAGATGTGTGGTTCCATACCCAGTTTTACCTGGTTTATGGGGACTCGAACTCAGGGCTTCACACTCATGCAGCAAGCACTTTACCCACTGAGTCATCTCCCAAGAATTTTGACTACTACAAATAGAATGAACTAATAGTGAATTTGTAAAATTGGGGATTTCCCTCCTGTCTCTGTTTCCCAAGTGCTGAGATTATAGTATACACCACCACACCCACCAAGTTCACTTCATAAACATTCTTTATAAAAACTGGCTTACCTCAATATTTTATTGGTTCACAATATTACTTTATATGACAATGTTAATTTCTTTAATCATTCAGTTGTTAAATGGCATTGAGTATGATTAGTTAGTCCAAACAAGAAGTTCCACAACAGTTGATTTATGACAGAATGGGGATGGCTCCTGTTTGTATGTTCAGTTTTGGATTCAACAGATTTAACTGCCGTTTGACTTCCAGTAAAGAATGCACAAAGTCATTCATCATGGTTGACCATATACATTCCATCTTCCATGACCTGTCCATTCTTTTAATTCATGTTTTTGTACTAAAAGACAGGACTATTTGATATGCTATTAGAAGTAATTAATGAATTATTCACTATACACATTTGCATGTGTGCATTAATGTAACCGGAGTGTATATCAACTGTTTTCATATTTGTTTATGATTTCTTTCTTTATATACAAGCTTGAAAGTTTCATTAAGATTATTTTAAGGTAGATATAGTAATAAGGGATAAAAATTTAAAATGTATAAAGACAAGATTAGAAGCTGGGTGTAGTGCATACATGCCTGTAATCTCAGCATTTGGGAAGTTGAGGCAGGATAATTAGGCTGGCTAAGAAAGACCCTATGTCTAAAAAAACGAGAGAAAGAAAAGTTTAGTAATTTTTTCCCAATAAGTCCCATTTCTAGCCTCTGCAGGTTGACAGATGTAGTCTAGAGTACATGCTCCACATTTTTATAATCATCATAAACAGATATAGACAAATATGTAGGTTTCCCATTTGTTATTAAAATGAGTTTATATAATATACATTATTATGCAATGTTTTCATTACTTATCATTTTATATTTAGTATATATTATAGATTTAATATGCTCTTGAATATTTATATAATAGTATACCACAAGATTCTACAACTTAATAATTCTCTAAATAAAGGGCATGGAGTGTCTTTCCAATTGTTTTCCTTTTATTGTTTTTTGAGACAGGGTTTCTCTGTGTAGTCCTGGCTGTCTTAGAACTCACTCTGTAGACCAGGCTGGTCTCAAACTCAAAGAGATCCATTTGCTTCTGCCTCCTGATTGCTGGGAGTAAAGGCATGTGCTATTACCACCTGGTTCCAATTGTTTTCATAAATATCCAAATATATTCTCAGCCTGTTGGATTATGAGGCAAACCAAATTTCAAGTTTCCCCAAGTATCTACCTGCCAGGAAATAGATCCCAAACTCTGTTGATATTTAACTCCCTTGTATAAACTGGCATCATATTTCCATATAAATGACAAGCATGCTTACATTCTCATATATATATATATCATAGATTACTTGCAATGCCTAAAACAATATAAATGCTATGCAAATAGTTGTTATATTGTTTAAGTAGTCATACAAAAAAGTCTACCAGCAAAACAATCATAGATTCATTAATACAGTATAGGACAACCACAGCAACAAAAGGACATTGTCAATCAGGGGCTAGAGCTAACTAAATCCACCAACACAGAGCCTTTGACGGAAGGCCAACTATGATCTCTTAAAATAGATATAATAATCCATTCTCTACATGTCCCTACATGAGACAGACTTCAGACAGAACTAGTACCTCTTTTACTTTAAGTTTATGAAACATAAAATAAACATTTGATAGCTACATATCAGCACAATTATGAGGTTATATAAACAATTTTTAAAAAAAATTACCTTTAGCTTTTTTAAATCTAGTATTTCATCTTCAAAAACAAATTATAAGTAGGATGTGGTAACACATGACTGGAATTCTAGCACTTGGGAGGTAAATGTAGTCAGATCAGGAGACTGAAAGCAACCCACTGTGGTGAGTTCCAAGCAAGCCTGGGCTCCATAGCAAGAGGCTATCTAAAAGAATTTATACCTAAAATTCCATTGGAGACCTTTGTAAAAGCTACACTAACCTGCTAAATAGATTTAAATTTTCCTTCCAAATATAATATTTTACAAGATGATACACTGAGTCTTATATTTATTTTAGGAGGCATTTTTTGGTGCTATGGAACAAACCCAGGGACTCATACAAGATAGGCATGTTTTCTATCAATGAACTATATGCTTAATGTACGATGCAGTGCTTTATGAACTAATATTTTACTTTGTTTTTCAAAATGTCTATACATTTGCAAACCAATAATCCCTAGAGAAACATTACAGAAAACAAGCAAAAACAAAAAAAAAGTGTTAAGAAACACATTGTGACTGATGGACAAATGAAAAACTTTCATTTGTACCAAGTAAATGTCAACTTACACAGGCAATATAAACAAGTCAGAGAAAGAAATCCTTTCCTCAAATAGGAAAAGCATCAATGCACACAAAATATAAGGAGTGAAGGAAGTAAAGAATAAGATGCACACTTTGATATGATTTGAAATGGTAGGACAAAAACCATAAAAAGATGCAGAGAAATTACAGTTAATTCTTTTTGAAAGAGGTTGTGCGACATTGAAAGGGGGAATCTCACCATTCACTTGTCTAGATCTCTACACGTCTCTGCCTCCTCTTATCTCTCACAGCTGAAGTGGTGGCCTTGTATCTAATACAAAACTTAGGAAAACTTGCTCAGTGGTTGATGAATGACAGACATTTGCTACTATTTGTGAGTTTGGTTTTGGACTCATCATATTTAAACTGTTGTTCCAGTAAAGAATGCACAGAACGCTTATTTCTCAATTCAGTTCACAGAAAAGTGCCAGAATGCATTGGGAGGACAACTTACAAATTTGTCAAGAAGCTCCGAGCATTCCCAGTGTGGCCTATGCTGCCCACGAAGGAGGTACAAGTGAAGAGAAAGCATTGGTCATATTGAGAAAATACCAGCATTTCATGGCATAGTATTCTATATGCACTTAGTGTTCTAGAGACCCATCACCTCCAAAGGTGAAACCCTAGAACAACACAAGTAGCAGCATGGAGGTCAATGAACCCTAACATTGAATCATGTAGGGATAGGTCATTGGTCACTGACTTAGGCATTGGGCCATTGATGCTGGTATCCTTTGTGAAAATCAGCAGTGTGACCAATCCTGAGAGCTACAGGCATGCTGGATCGGGTCCCTTCTTTCATCACAGGAACACCGATGGGGGTGGGGACACAACAGTAGAGTGGTTAGGCATTTGTACTTGAAAGTTCCAGGCCTCTGTCAGTGGGAGCCTACCACCATAACTGCCTCTCCCTTTTCAGAGTGGAAGCAAGGTGCCTTTCCTTCTTTCAGAAAGTCCAGTTAAAGTGTCAGCCAGGAGACATATGCTACTAGCATTTACTCTGTGCTTTCAACTGATGGGTACCACTTACACTTTCCTCTGGATAGTCACAGATCACAGCTAAAACTCTTTCCCTGCCCACCTGTTGATGTGGTACTTGAACCTTTCCAACCACTAGGAAAGATGAAGAAAGTGCTGAGAAAGAGGCTAAGAAACTAGGGACTAGTGCGCTAGGGGGCTTACAGGAATCCTGTTCAAGCAGCAGCTTGACCTTCCCCTCCCTTTGGCCCTCTCAGTTTCCCTTGGTTCCTGCTCTTACAAGAAGAAAAAAAAAATTAAAAAGTTAAAACACATGTAGTTCCCTGTGACCCCATAGGAAAATTCAAGTCATAGTCCAGCTCTCCACAGCAAAAAGTGCTGGTCACAGTACTGACTTGATCATAATTTTGCTGCAGGATTACTTTCTGACAGGCCTGTGAATTCAGCTGGGGACCATACTGTAACCTTGAGCCAAGCCAAGAAAACGGCCAGGAAAGACATCCACAGGGTAGAAGACACGGGTGTCTCTTATATGAGCACCCATGTGCAGAGAATGGACTGACCATCACCAGAGAATCCAGAGAAGGCCACCAAATAGCTCACATGCCTGAAATCTTTCTTTAGAGCATTTACTCTGCCCTGTTCTGTTCTCTCACCAATTAGGAATGGGCCAGAAGGGAAAGCATGGGACATGGAAGGCTAAGGGGATGTTTCCTGGCTCCAGAGCTTTGGAATGGGCAATAACTCACATATCTAGTGAAGAGACAATAGGAACTCCCTCCTTCCTGGAAAGGGTCATAATACCAAAAGGACTCTTGTTCATATCAGGCCCCTCTAATAAGTACAAAGGCATTGATCCAGCTGTAGGCCTAAAGGACCTAAAGATAGTAGAAGATGAGTTTGAATTGTACCCTTGTTTTTGTCACCAGCACAGTTTAATGGGACAGAGATGGCCCCAAGGCCAACTGAGCGTTTCAATATAATAAAAAAAAGTAGTATTTTATTTTACCCTAGGTCTCTGGGCTATCTAGTCTCAAGTCACCCAAGAAGTATTGGGTATGGATTCTATCTCATAGAGTGGGCCTTAAGTCAAATCAGACACTGGCTGGTTACGCTCAGAAGCTTTGCCAGGAATGATTGCACTAGTGTATCTTGAAGCCAGGACAGATTGTAGATCAAGGATTTTATGGCTGGGTAGTGGCTGGGTCGATTTTAAGTTTCTCTTTTGGTAGCCTTTAGAGTGCCTTCCTATATCAAAGACACTAGAATGGAGGCACCAGCTAGACCTCTCCATGTTTAATGAGTTGTGTATGTTGTCTTCAGCAATAGGCCCCACTGTCAGTTTGTGAAGAGCAACTCATTCTCTTAGCAACAGCCTGGGTTGTTTAGGGATTTCCATGGGACCTTTATTACTGGTCTTTTTTTAAAGTAGGGATAAAATGGCATTCTGCTACACTCATAGATCAATACCTTACTCAGTCATCATCAGAGAAGCTTCCTCCTGCAGCAGATGGAAACAAATACAAGACCCACAACCACACATTACAGGGAGTGGGGCATTGAACACACAGCTCTAATGGGATGTCTCCATCAAATCTCTCCCTCAGAGCTCAGGGAACCCCATGAAAAGAGGAGGCAGAAAGACAGCAAAAGACCAAAGGCCGCTAAATCAAGTCAGTGAAGGTCATATGAACTCACAGGGACTGAAGCAGCATGCACAAGGGCTGCACAGGTCTGCACCAGGTCCTCTGTGTATATACTATGGCTTTTAGTTTAGTGTTGTTATGGGATTCCTGAGTGTGTGAACTGGTTATCTCGGGATCTTTTCCTTCTGTTGATTTGTCTTATCCAACTTGGATACGATAGCTTTGTTTTTATCTTATTGTATTTTCTTTTGTTCCGTTGTTATCTCTTAGAAGCCTCTTCATTTCTAGTGAGAGAAAAGGAGTGGGTCCAGAGGAGAGGACAGGTGGCGAGGAGCCAGGAGGAGTAGAGGGAGGGGAAACTGTATTAGAGAAAAGTATTTTCAATAAAAGGGGAGAAACAAGCAAACCCAGCAAAGCTCTGTTGTTCACACCACTGTTCACACCACCATTCACAATTCACAAGGTGGAATTTAGCAACACGGAAATTTCTGAGTGTGTCAGAAGATGCAATAAATAATGGTTTCTTGAAGTAGAGGTCAGTCAGGGAATTGGGGTAAAATCCCCCGAGGTCGTGACAGATAAGAGGGCTTGTAAGGCAGATAGCAGAGATGTCAGAGTTCCAAATGTACTATGAAATTAGCCTGAAGTAACAAGAAGAGAATCATAGTGGGATAAGAAATCCAATGAAGCTGGGCAGCTTGAGGCCAGCCTGGTCTACAAAGTGATTTCCAGGCAGGTCAGCCAGTGATACAAAGAGAAATCCTGTCCTGAAGAAAAAAAAACCATGAAAGGAAAAAGAAAAAAAGAAATCCAATGAACGACTTTTGTGCAGTTGGTATAAGGTGAAGTGCTCAATGGTAATACATCAGGCTTGAGAGAAAAGGCATATGTAATCTTGCAAGCCATTTAAGATTTTGTTGTAGATATGAGGAAATCATTAAAGAATTTTAAGCAGAGAAACATTATGGTTATATATATATTAGAGATATCATTCTTAAGGCTGTGTTAAAAGTGAAAAGGAAAAGTAAAAAAAAATCCCATATATTAAACCTTTTTCCATATATGACAGTTGCTTCCTGAATTTTCTTTCAAATCTGGACAGCAAACTCTCCCAGGACCTGCCCTCTACATCCCCTTCGTTCATCTTTCTCAGCTGCTCTTGAAATGTCGATGATCCTAGAGTTGATTTCAGACAGTTTTCTCTATGGATTTGTGCTTTAGAGTATCTAATTTGCTCCCTTGCTCTAAATGGTCACTCTTGATAGCAGTTTTTACCCTACTTATCAAAACTGCTCTTGTCACCTCAGAGCTTTACCAGCTTGCCAGGAATCTCTGCCTAGCGAGCTTACTCAAAATGGTAAAAAGTATCTATGTATTGCATTCTGTCCCTCAGACAGTGACTTCACACAATACTAAATTCAGAAACTTGAGAATTCCCTTCCTTTATATAGAACTCTTAATCTGTCATGAACATTTGCTGTTAGTTTGGCTAGCTTAGAATCTACAGTCCCAGGGCAGCTGTGAAGATATTTTGCTTTTCCTGTGGCTGATATCTACAACCAGCTGGCTTTAAGTAAGGAGATAGGAGATAATCTTGAGAGATCTGCTTTAGTCAGTTGATAGGCATGAAGAACAGAGATAAAACTCTGAGTTTTATCTCTGAAATATGCATCTTAGTTGTAGCCTAAGCTGGAGAATTTCAGGGGGCCCATCCCACGAACCTACTCTACAGATTTCAGACTTGTGCAATCAACCCAAGTCAATACACCGCAATTGTATATAATTTCTTATTACATATTTCCTACTGATCATGTTTCACAGGCTAAACCCTGATTAATATGCCATCTGATCAATATTGCAAAAAATATTCTTAATCCATTTCTCTGTATTTCATCCCAACTACCAGGGTTTTATTACTTGAAAGGTTTTCACATTATTAACTATCTTTTCAACCCAGTATCTTCCTATACTATCTTCTGCATGTAGACTGGTATATGAACATAACACTCTCCTTATAAGAGGAGACCTTATAAGAGACCGTGTTTTAAGGCAGGGTCTGACTATGTAGCCTGGGCTAGCCTGGACCTTGCTATGTAGACCAGCTTCATCTTGAACTCACAGAGAGCCACCTGCCTCTTCCTTCCAAGTGCTGGGATTAAAGGAGTGTGCTACCACATTTGGCTTTCCTTAAAAGTTTGGAATGACTTTATATTTCTTATTGATTTATTTGGAAACTTTTCAGTAAAGAGCACAAAATTTGCATATTCATGTTCCACATTACTCAATAGGTTCATCCTACATCCTAGGAAGTTACATGGCTTGTAGACCTAGCTACTATTATCTGTGTCCTCTAAAAGAACAGGCTGTCTTGAGCTCTGTACTTTTGGTCATTACAGTCTCACTACTTATTCTCTACTTGCCCTTGTGATGGTTTGAATGAGAAATGTCCCCAATATTTGACACTTGGTCCCCAGTGGATTAGTGCTGTTAGGAAATGTTATGAACGTGGTGGCACATGCCTGTAATCCTAGCAACTTGGGAGGTTGGGGCAGGATTGGTGCTTCAGAATTCAGGGCCAACCTCCTGGATTTCAGGAAATGTTATGGAACCTTTCTGAGCTAGAGCCTTTCTGGAGGAAGCAAGGAAGTGGGGGTGGCCATTAGGGGTGTAGAGCCTTGCCCCATTTCCTGTTAGCTCTCTCTGCTTCTTGTTCCTGGATAAAGTGTGATAAGCCAGCCTCTTGCTCCAGCTGACTGCTGACATGCCTTCCCCACCATTACAGATTGTCTCTCTGGAACTTAAACCAAAATAAACCCCTTCTTTCTCAGGTTGTTTTTGAACATAGTATTTTATCAGAGAAACAGAAAGTAACTAATACATTTTACCACTCCCCAGCCTTAATACCCAAGAGTACTCTTTAAGACCCAGCACAGACATCGATGCACACAAAAATTCATCCTGGTACTTCTCATCTAGGAAGTACAGCCTCTTGCATTCTCTTACATGGCATTATGTGCTAATTCCTAAGGAACTTACCAAACTGGTTTATGGCTTTAGTGGGTGAGTTAGACATCTTATTTTGGCAGTATGGGCACCTGGTACAATGTCTGTAATATAACAGATGTTTGCTTTAATATATGTTTAATATATGTTTAAAAAATATTTCTGCTGGTTGAATGAAAGAATGGATTATCAAACACTGATTTATGGTTATGGTTAACTGCAATAATGGGATGTGTGGAGAGCAGAATAATAGGTACATAAAGGGGTTCATGTAATAATTCTCGGGACTAGAAACTATATAGCTTTACATGGTAAAAGAACTCTGGTGATATAGTTCAGTTATGTATGTTTCAGGAATACAGAAGAATTTCCTCTGGATTAACTGGGTGGCATACTCTGGCTGATTGTATATTAAACATAGAAATCCTTTTCCTACCTGAGCAGAGAGAGGGTGGATGAGAATAGGAAATGGAGAAGTTTTAAATTTGAGAGGCACTCAACTTAGAGTTGGTGTTGAAGACAATGAAAGAGGATCACAAATGAAGGACCTCTAAAAGCTGAGGACACCCGTCAGCTGCCATTCAACAAGGAAATGGAACTCTCACTCTTAGCTTTGTAAGGAACTCAGTTCTACCAGCAACGTAAGGAGCAGAGAAGGAATTGTCTTCTAGAACCTCTGGGAAGAAATGCAGCTGGTCAGCACTCTGATTTAACCAGATGAAACCTACACCAGATCTATAGCAGTGTAATATAATAAAGTTGTTACTTTGAGCCCTAAATTTACAGCAAACTAAAGAATGCAAGAAAACAGGATATATAGCAAAAAATGGAGTGAGGTGGGGCATGGTGGTGCACGCCTTTAATCCTAGCACTCAGAAGGCAGAGGCAGGCGGATCTCTGTGAGTTCCAGGCCTCTCAGGGCTACATAGAAAGACCCTATCTCAACAGAAAGATGACTAGATTAAAGAACTGAAAAGCAAATGCCATCGCCACAATGAAATCTTGCAAACAAAATAGATTCTAAGGAAAGATTTAAGAAAAGGGTCACAAAAAGGATAAAAGATGTATCCTAGACTTTACTTGGATCTAGGAGACTAATACAACATGGTAACACATTTAACAGATATTTATAGACCCCTATATATAACAGGTGGAATATACAAACCTCTTACAAACAAACAAGCAATAGTAATCATTAAGATCTCTAAGACATTCGGCAAATTTCAACAACTATGAAACCATGTTTATACTCTAAAATTAAATGTGAAATAACAAAAGATTAAAAGAAAAAGATCCATAGATTCACACCTCAGTTTGCAAATATGATCTCCCAGGAACACAGTCAAATAGAGAAATGGTCAATGGGGTAGAAAATATATGAGCCTGAAAGTAAGGAAGAAAAGAAATGTTAAAATAAATATCTCTCAAAGAATGGTGACATGCCAAGGGGTAGAGAAAACAAGTTGAATAAAATAATTACGATAGCAACAGGTTATTTATAAAATAACATAAAAATTTAGGTGTTTAAATATAATAAATACAGAAAAGCTTTCTCTCCAAGTAGAATATACACTAGTAAATGCAATAAAATGATGGAGCTTGAAATTTATTATTCTGTAGTCATCATAGTAAAAACATTTAATCAAGAATAATCATCAGATGCAAAAACTAGAAGATAGTTTGATGAGGAACAGAAAAGATATACAATATCCAAGTATTCAGAGCAAAATTATTGACTGTAACGAGAAAACAAAGGGTTAATCTAACAAAATCCCAGCAACTTAATCAAGAAGTCAATGTGGATATGACATCTGCATCATGAGCAAGTTATGACTATGACGCCCAGAGAAAAACTTAATATGAATTCTGTAGTCTTCCTGCCAACATACATCATCAAAATATAAAAAGGAGGAAATGATACTGACACCTAAATTGAGGAGCCTTCTACATCACTTATATTTTGAAAAATTGTCAATGTCAACAAAGACAAAGAAGATTGAAGAAACTTCCTGATCAAGGACTAGAAAGACACACACACACACACACACACACACACAAAACTAAGTATAACACATCATCCTGGACTGCAATTTCAACCATGAAAACAGATAATGTATGAGAAAATTTTTATTCCAAGTAAACACAGTGAAGTATTAAGAAGTATAGCAGAAATATAGCTGTAAATTCCTTTTAGATGGCAGAAGGAAAGAGAATGGTAGGGTAAATGTGGCAAAATACTTGCTGATAAATGTGGAGAGAGATGTGGGAGGTTTTCTATAATATCCTCATGGTTTAACTGTGGATTTCAATTAAACATCCTAACCATGATCTTTGTATTGAAGAAAGAAAAAAGCTTTCAGTTTTTGTTTTGTTTGTAGACAAGGTGTCACTATGTAGCTAGCATTATGTAGCTAGTCTGACTCACTCTATATACTAGGCTGGCCTCACACTCAGAGATCCACCTGTCTCTGCCTCCTGGATCCTGGAATTAAAGGTGTGTGCCACCATACCTAGCAAAAAAAAAGTTTTATATTACCAAATTCTATTGAGATGTGCTGCATGTATGTAAATTTCTTTTCTATTGTTGCTGCGAGAAAGTTTAAAAATACTTTAAAGTGACAGAAAATAAAACTTAACCTATAGTTTGGTGAATGGTTTCATAATACAATTATTTTAAAAAGAATGCATAAATAACTGGAAATTTAAAAAGCAAAACTCTTCAGCTGGGGCTGGAGAGATGGCTGGTTCAGCAGTTAAGAGCACTTGTTGCTCTTGCAGAGGATCCGAGTTCAGTTCCCAGAACCCACATGGTCATCTGTAGTTCCAGTTCCAGAGGATCCAATGCTCTCCTCTGACATCCCTAAGCATTAAGCATACATATTTACATGCAGGCAAAACACCCACACATATAAAATTGTCAAATTAAAAAATCATTTGGAGACATTATAAAGCTATAATTGTTAAAGTATAACAAAATAATAAACAAATTCTTACAAAGTAATAGAGAATAATTTGTAGTTTTCACTTTTTTAGAAAAGAAATCATAATGAGCTAGAGTCCAATTCATTAAATCAGAAAATGAACAAATGAAGGGGAACTAGAAGAAAAATAAATATAGATTAAATAATTAAAAGAGAAAGCAGGGCTGGAGAGATGGATCAGTAAGCAAACTGCTCGCTATTCAAGCAAAAAGACCTAAATTCTAACTCTAGCACCTAAATAAAAGCTGGACATGGTGGCCAGGCTTGTAATCCCAGTGCTGGGGAGGTAGGGACTGTGGTCACCTGGGCTCACTGGCCAGTCAGCCTATCCTCATCAGGATTCAGTAACAGCTCTTGTCTCAAAAAACAAAACAAAACAAAACACAAACAGACAAAAGACAAAAAAAAAGCGGATGATTATTGAAGACCAATATAGGAGGCTAATCTGTCCTATCCCCATCCCCCAAAATAAAGAAGTCTTGTTAAAACCAAAATAAGGAAATTCATTAAAATTATTGTAAAATTATGTGTAACTTATCACATTCTCATGTTGTCATATGAATGGGGAAAATACTTATGCAAGTAGATATAGACAAAATATTTGGGAAAAAAAAAACTCCATACCCATTCACAATAAGTCTTCTCAGCAAACTATAAAAATTGAATTGAATAAACTGTATGTCCTGGCAATGCTGAAAGCCTGCATGGGCAGTCATATATGGCGGTTCTGTTGAACTTGTCCATATTGGGTTTCACGGTCTAAGTTGATGAGGACGACTGACCAGGTCTCTTCCTCAAGAGAGCACCAGATCTCATTACAGATGGTTGTGAGCCACCATGTGGTTGCTGGGAATTGAACTCAGGACCTTTGGAAGAGCAGGCAGTGCTCTTAACTGCTGATCCATCTCTCCAGCTAACTGTGAATACTAATTAATTTTCATCTGGGTGGTGGTTGCCCGTGCCTTTAATCCCAACACTCAGGAGACAGAGGCAGGAAGAGCTCTGTGAGTTCAAAGTCAGCCTGATCTACAGAGTGAGTTCCAGGACAGCCAGGGCTGTTACACAGAGAAACCCTGTTTCAAAACACCCCCTCCCCCTGAAAAAAAAAAAAACAATTTCCTTGGGCAAACTAAAAAATGCATATTGGTGAAAAAAAAAGACAGTGCCAATACAATATAATTAAAAATAGCCCAAGACAATCTATAAATTACTAGAAAAATATAATTCAGAAAGGATGCATGTTATAAAATCAATATAAAAGTACAAATCATTTTCCCCTTTACTAGTAACAATTAGAAAATGGGCTTTAAAAAGATTCACTTTGGAGAAACAATAAAGTAATCAGCAGTATATTTACTAAAATGCTTTGCAAATTTACCTGGCTAGTTTTTGGTGCATATGGTTTCAATTTTACCATTAATGCTAGCTTTGGGGGTTTTGTCGGTTATTTTGAACATGTCATTTTCAATTCCTTTCTTCTTTCTTTACATGCATTTTTAGTAAAGAAAAAAAAGAAAACAAAACAAAAAGATTACCTTTAGCAACACAACTTCCAGGTGCGGGACACCAGCAAAAGCAGAGTAGCGTTGGCAAGAATCTTCATGATTGTCAATGGGTGAACTGTGTTACAAACGCACCAAGGAAATGGAGTCATACTGCAACCTCTCAACGACTGGAAAACAGGAAGCAAGGTGAAGTCATTCTGTCTGTCACATTCAGTCTGACTCATCTTCCCTTGGCTTTTCCAATTCCTTACGTTCCTTTCCGCTCCCAATTAAATGATAGAATTCCTATTAAATAGGTCCGCAGTATTAGGGGGCATGTTCTGCACTGCAGCTTAGAGCATCAAGTCTCTAGAACCAAGCATTTTCTTTTTAATCATATCTCAACATGGGCACTTTGTGTCTCACCACTTGTAGTAACTTACAAACTTACTGGCCTTATTCAAACATCCTTTGGTGGATATGTGATTAAACTCTAACATGCCAAACCCTTTAGAAAATGTATGGGACACAAAAATTTCCACTAAGTATTCGCCGTTAACAATTTTTTATGATTTAAATCACTAGGGAGAAATTAAGTAGCTCCTACACATTTCTTGCCCTGAATAGCTTCCTTTGTTTTCTAGGTGAGCATCTCTCTCCCTATAGCCTGCATTACCACATTTTGCCTTTGAATAGAGGTTTAAAAAAAAAAAACAGGGGAAGAAAGGCCTATGGAATAACAATCAGCTGCTTTCAGATGAAACAGAACTCCTTCCTTTCTTATGCTTTAGCAACAAACCTGAACCCAGAAGGTCCACGGTTGCAAATGTTATTCATAACTTGCTTAAATATCTATTTCACTCCTGCTATGCAGTGGCTGCGCCTTAGCCATCTGCCCCCGCATCTCCCTGTGCAAGGCCTAACCACAGCAAGGACTCCAGAAACGCATGCGATGAAGAAGGATTGATGAGACTTGAGTCAAACCTGGTTCCCCCCCCCCCTTTTTTTTTTGTTTTTACAATCTATAAGGCTCATTTAAAAAGGCTATTGCTTTACTGAAAGGAAAAATTAGTCTTAAAACACAAATGGCGCTTGTTTGGAAATCGCCCATGATATGATATTCCTAGATTCGAGAATAAACTGCGTACTCCTTAGCAAATGGTCAAAGCCTGTAGCTCATCTCTTTCACATAATCAGGATTACAGGCAAGCTGCCTCAGAACAAGCCTGCCCTGGGCCTTTCATCCTGGAAACAGTAGGCCTAACCAGCATTCCATCTCATATGGCAGATGTCACTCACCCATTAAGGCCCACCCAAAGTTTTCCCTTCTTCTTAGATGGCTCTCATTACTAACAAGCAGTGACTCGGTCCATCCATGATTTCTGAATACCTCGAACAAGCCCATTTTTATGGTACTTGGGTTTGAGCATCATTTTGTAACTTTTGTTTTCACTTACTAAATCCCATTTTACATTTAAAAAAAAAAAACCCTAGTTCTCAGAGCTCATCTTACAGGCCGTAGGCCTTGGGCACATCTTTGCTCTTTAACTAAGCATTTCCATTTAAATGGAAAAAAATTCCAATATACACAAAAGTAGAGAGAACAGTATAGTAAATCCCCATTCAGTTTTAATTTATCGACCAGGGAACATTTTGTTAGTACCTCCCTACACCGTGGCCTGTCATGAAAATCAAAATACTGCAGTTTACTTTAAAAACTCAATTATCTCACGCGAAATATCTTAATTATTTAATGCAATCAAATGCCCATTTCATCCAAGCGTACTTTGTAAAAGAGACATTCAATGCCTGTATGTTGTTTCTCTTCTTATTATTCTTATTCTTTTTTTTTTTTAATTTGTGGAAAGAACAGGAAAAGGGAGAACAGCTGGGGAAAAGCATAATTAAGTTTCAGAGAGCCTGAATGTCCCAAATGAGAAAGAAAGTATCTGACCTGATTTAGGCTGGGAAAAATCTATTTCACTACTTCTCCGGAGGAGGAGGGTGCGACTTCAGTCCAGCAGATGCAGGAGGAGGCTCCGAGGGGAGAGTGGTACTACCTCCACTGGGAGTCCCTTCTGGATAATCCCACCGCGGAGCCAGGAGACAGCGCTTTTTTGGAGGCTTGGGTTCCCGCGTATTTCCTTGTGGGAGCGTGGTTCTCCCGGAGGCACAGGGTTGGTCCCCCATAGGTATGGCCGGACCAGAGCGTCAGTTTTCTCTGGTGGGCCCTGGCAAGGCCGAGAGATCTGAGATGGCGGATCCCCTCCAGGCACGGGGCTGGCTTCCTCCTGGTTTCGCTGTTACCGTATTTCCTGTATCCCTGAGACGTATATCCCTTCTCCGCCTCCGCAGCGCTCCGTTCCCCATCCCTTTTTAACCTTTCTACGAGAATGGAATGCAAAAAAAAAAGCACATTTAATAAAAAGCTTTTCCGTAGCACATCTAGCACATCTCTCCCACAGTTTAATTAACTATGGAGAGTTTTGTACAGTTTTATTTTAAAAATGTCAATTTGCCTGTAACTTGCCAACAAGGCATGTCTTAATTAATGGGTGTGTGGGAGGGTCGCGGGGGTGCTGTAACCAAAGAAATTAAGCATTTTACCGTGCAGTTTTATACACACATCACAGAATCATGAAAGCGGGTACAACCATCTAAAAAGCTGTATATAAATATGTTGACTAATTGGCTACAGTGTTAAGTTTCAAGCCGATTATGGAAATTGATGCCCAATAAATTCATCATGTATCATACAACCCAGAACCACTGTGGTTCCTCCATAGCTTTAAATTTTTGTCATCTTGAAAATTCACTGTATTTTTTTTTTCTCATTCCAACATCCAAGATTTTTCTGAAAACAGACAACTGGTGGCACTTCGTGTTTAATTGGCAACATTTTCTTTCTTTCTTAGGGCTATAGAAAACAATGACTCATCTTACTATTGTGCTATGTTATTATATTCTATGTTATATGGTAAGAAACCAGAAAGAATAACCAGAAGGTGCCACGAAACAGAGAAAAGGATTCTGCGTTTCTTTTATCTTCAGCTCTCAGTAACTTTAATGTCTCTGTCCCTTTGCCTAAACCACACTTTCCCACTTCTGCCCTCATTGTTTTAATGAAGAAGTTTCAACCCATAATGTCACAAGCATTCCCTTTTAACAAACTTTACTGTTCTCAAGCTCTTCAGTATTTAATTAATTAAATTATTGGAATTTGTTTTCTAGCTATGATAATTTATGTGCAAAATGATGCCATATTCAAGATAATCCACTTAAAGCGCTTACCGCCAAAGCTACCTCACACCTCAAAGATGGCTACCTTCCTCCAAGCACTTTGCACAGCCTATTACATAAATTAGGTACCAATAGAGATTTGGTAAAATTCAATGGCCCTATGTTTTTTTTTCAATTAAAAAAATGAGATTAAAATTTAATGCCATCATTTCCCTTTTTGCCTCTCCTACATCCATTATGCTCCCTATAACAGTAACTATAGATAAACATATCAATCACTACTAATAAAAACAAAATCTTAACCAAAAATGAGAAGATATTGAGAGATAGGTTAGAACTACAACATTTGTACCAAAATGTAATAATACAGGAGTCAGCATTGTACAAGTAATAGCTGAAGTTATGGGTGTGGGTGCTCTCCCAAGAAAAACTAGAACTGGTGAGGAATGGAATTTAATGGCAGATGGAAGAAAAGCTACAGTCAAGTTTGAGAAAAAGTGAGCAAAATCAGAAGACTCTGGCTTGAAAGCTCTGAAACTTGTGACTGATGACCTTTGCAGGTGGATTATTTTTGTGACTGTGACCTGTCACTAGGACATTTAGTGATATTCTAAACTAGGGCTATGGGGAGTAGCACTCTCTACACTTCAGTTATGATAACCAAAAATGCCACAAGACATTGACAAATGTCTTCCAGGGACCCAGTATTCCTCAGCAAGGGCTGGAGAGATGATGCAGCAGTTAAGAACACTGGGTGCTCTTCTAGAGGACCTGAGTTCAATTCCCAGCACCCATATGGCATCTCACAGCTGTCTGTAACCCCAGTTCCAGGGGCTCCAACTCCCTCACTATGTGCATGCAAAACACCAACTTACATAAAAAAAATAACGAAAATGAAGATAATTTAGTCCTCCATTCAGCTGTACACTACAGCTTTTATATCATTCAAACTAAAGACCATATCATTTGTCAAAATAATTAACATTTTCTTAATCTTTTTATACATATTTCTATAAGTGTGTAAGACCAAATATATCAGTGTAAAAATTAAGATTAAGTTGTTTCATAGCTATATTTAGCAAGTTTAGAGAAATGGTTAATTGGTTAATAATTTGTGTAAAATAACAGGAATTAAAATTTCCAGTAAATTCAGGAAGGTTTGATTTATGATAAACTTTACTTGAGGTAATAAAGTCTTAACTTAGACTGCTACAGTTCCTCTGGACCATTTATACTACAACTAGATTTGTTTTGAGTTTTGCCAATTTTTTTTTCTTTTTTGAGACAGGATCTCAGTGTGGCTTAGAGAACTCTTAGCCTTTGCTTCCACCTCCCAGGTGCTGATATTACAGGTATTTGCCATCATTCCTGATTTATGCTTAGGATGGAACCCCAGACCAATTGAACTACATACCCACCCCATTTGTTTGTATTTGATTATGGTAAAATGCACACATATATTCCCATCTTCGCTTTTCCCTAGAAACCACCATTACACTCAAAACCTGCTTTTTTAAAACTCACTGTTTGTTTTGTTAGGGAATAAAGCCCTTTTTCCTTAGAGGTTTCAAAATGATTTTTTCCCTCATTCTTCAAGTTGGTCTTTTTTCCTGCTCTTAGAACCCGCGCAGTATGGACCACAGAACCAGTAGAGGGCGCTGTTGTGTTGATGGCCTGTTAAGCCTGTTTAAAAAAAAAAAAACGCCATGGATCCAAATTGCTTTCACACTCAACAGTGCTCAGAGGATGAGAACAGAGGGCAAACTGAGCTCACCTTTGGGTGATATTTGCTTGTTTTAATACATTATTTTATGAAGAAATTGGTTAATTAATTGGATTCTTTTAACAATCACTTTTCATTTCAAGTCTAAGACCTGATCTTACTTGCATATATAAAAGATGTTTGTTTCTGTTCATTGCGTTTGACTACAAACCTAAGGACAAAACCCATGGAATTCATGTAACAGTCTCATAAAATAAAAAATAAAAATTATCCAGAGGGACACTTCACAGGCTTTTTGCTCTTTGCTTTATTTTATTGAACAAATCTGACTAGGAATGTTTTATAAAACTAAGAGATACAAAGAAGAAAACTATGATCTTGAAAAACCTCTAAACCTTCCCCCCGCCCCATTTTGGGGTTTTTGGATTTTTTTTTTTCCGAGACTGGGTTTCTCTGTGTAGCTTTGGAACTGTCCTGGAACTCCCTCTGTAGACCAGGCTGGCCTTGAACTCACAGAGCTCCACCTGCCTCTGTCTCCTGAGTGCTGGGATTAAAGGCATGTGCAGACACTATGGCCGACTTTTAAACCATTATTTTGCTTTGTTTTGTTTTATTTTACTGTTTGTTTTTTGAGACAGGACCTGACTATGTAGCCTACCCAGGCTGGGCTGGAACTCATTCTGTGGATCAGGGTGGCTTCAGAGATCCGCCTGCCTCTGCCTCCCAAGTGCTGGATTTAATGTCGTGCACCACCACAACCTATTTTGTATGGGTATTTTGCCTGAATATATATATATATATTATGCCCCTGCATTGCCCACAGAGGCCAGAAGAGGGCACTGAATGAGCATTGTTAGCCACCATGTCAGATCCTGGACTTGAACCTAAGTCTTCTGTAAAAGCAGTGTATGTTGTTAACTGCTGGTCTCTCCAGCGCCAAAAAACATAATATAGAAAAATATATGAACCGAAAAGTCTATGGTTAGTCACTATGATGTTTTTTTAATGTTGCGGTTTTTAGAGAATAGGGATATATACGTGTACATGCATACACAGGTACTTGTGTGTGTGATCCTTCGCCCAGCATTTGTATTGCTTTTTATTCTTAACAAATGTTTTTAACAATGAGATACCTTAGCACTTTTTCACATGGCATGTCCTGTCTCATCACTGTTTAATGGTTCTTTAGTGGCTGCTTATAATCCCATTATGTAGACCTCCCATAATTTTTCACATAACTAATTTTTATGAAAGGGTATTTATGAACAAGTAAATTGTTTCTAGGCTTTTAAATCGAAAATTAATCTAGTAACAATTCATTTTAATAGTACACATTGGGATTTTTAAAGTATATTCAGCTAGATATATGTCCACATTATTTAATCTAAGAATATTGTTACAGTGTCAAATAGAGTATGTACTCATAAATATCACGTATAATATTCCATGACCCCTAGATTCTGGAAAACAAGTGTTCTCTGTCTGCATGGGTTTGCCCATCCTGATCATTTTATATAATAGTATTGTGTGCTATATGGTCTGAAGTTTTTATCTTTTATATGTCAAAATATATATGTATGTATATCTATTCATATATTCTGTGCCTTTGATGTCAGTTTCCTCCCCTATATCTATAAAAATTATTTATAGGTTTGGTCTTTTCATAGTGTTCCAGATTTTCTGAGTGTTTTATGCCTTTTTTTTTTTCAGATTTAACATTGTCTTTGACTGAGCTATCCATTGGTTCTATCTTGACTTCAAGACCTGAAATTTCCTCTTCCATGTTGGTCAGTGTGTAGGTAAGACTTACCCTATGAGCTTTTTGTTGAACTTGCTGAGTTTTTTGTTTCTAGTTTAATTTCAGTTTGTTTTATGGGGGGGGGGGGAAGTTGGTAATTCTATTTTCTTTTTAAATTCTTTTTTAATTGTTTTCATTATTTCATTTAACTTCTTTGTGTTTTCATGTTCTTTAAGGCATTTATTTGCATCCTCTTTAGAGTCCTTGAATATAATCATAATTACTATTTTAAAGTCCTTGTCTTGTGCGTCCGCAGCTATATTGCATTTCTCAGCGCCTATTGCAATAGAGTGGCTGGCTTCTGGAGGAGGCATACTATTCTTAGATGCTCATGTTTGCGTATTAGCTCTGGGATCTACGCATCTGGAGTCAATGCCATTTGAAATGTTTCTTAGTCTAGATATTTCATCTTATCTTTGTTAGGTGTATGTTCTGTTCTTTGGTAACTACTGCCTACTCTGATTCCTAGTTAAGTGTGACAGTCATGGGATTCTTGATAGGCAATGGTTCTGTGGGCCAGCAGCAGCCATATAAGT